TTGAATGGCCACAACTTACTGTCACCTTGTACTTCGGAGATTTGTAATTTCATGACACCACCATGGTTGGTGGATGTTGCTAAAAGTAAGGCTGGGCGTGGGTTGGGTTGGATTGGTTTTGAGTCCAAGCCAAATCCAACCCAACATGTTCAGTTTAACAATAATTCAAACTTAAACAAACCCATTTACAGTTGAAACTCAACCCAATTCAAACCGACCAAACTCGGGTTGTTTTGGGTTGGGTTGGTCGGTTTGGACTTAATTTCAATTCATGTTGGACAATTTTTTTGTGCCTAATGGTTGAGACATTTTTCGTTGAATTTGTATAATTTTTTTAAAGTTTGATACAATTTCAATTTGGACCCATTTCAGTTATATTAAAAAGGTCATTTGAAAGGCTTTAAGTCGATTGGATTTGGATCAATGGTCCGTGTGATTAAGTTTCATTCCAATAGGACAATATAAATTAAAAATATTGTAAAACATGTTAAATATATTATATCATGATCAAATTAAATACATATTAAATCAATCTAAATATGTAACATGCATATTATACCTATTAGATAAAATGAATTCAATCTAAATACTAAAAATGATCAAATTATCCAAACTCAATACAAAATCTCACTCTTCAATCTAAGCGTTTAGTGAAAAATTACGTCAAAATATCGAGTCGAGAAGCCGATGTACGAGCAATAATGAGAGATAGAAGAGACAAGAGGCAGGGGAGAATTTGACCATTAGGTTTTAAGTTTTTTATTTTAATTTCTTATTTTATTTTTTTAAAAAAATATTTTTTAATTTATTGGGTTGGGTTTGATTGAGTTTTAATAGATAACCCGAAACCCAACCCAACCTGATCTAAAATTTGATTTCCTAACTCGAACCCAACCCAATTGAACTAAAAAAATCAATCCAAACCAGTTGGTTTGGGTTGGGTTGATCGATGTGATTGGTTAAGATTGGTTTTTGCCAAGCTCTAATCACATTTTAGTCTTCTATTTCATAAAACATAAAAGAGGCTCACACGAGTGATTCGTTGCTTGGCAATCGGCTCACTTCACTTAACACCTTACCTAGTAGTGTCATTGGCCCTTGTAAAGTATTGTGGACGACCTGATATATGTTTCTAAAAGAGGCTTAGACTAGTGATTTGTTGCTCGACAAACGACTTGCCTCACTTCACACCCATACCTAATAGGCTAATAGTGTCAAATAGGTCAAGTCGAGCCAGCCAGTCATTGGACTGGCCCAAGTAAAGTATTCCGGGCGACCTGGCTCATTTTGTTACAGGACAAACATTTCTAAGTTTGGCCCATTAAAATCGGCCCATTACACCCTGATGGCCGATACCTTATCCACATTACATTGATAGTCCTAAACCTTTGTCAATGGTGGTCATGGCTTCCTTTCATATATAGAAACAATCTCCGTCTCCTTCTGGCTCTCTGCGTGTGTATAAAGACTGAAGAGCATGATGTTGTCGATTCCAGTTCAACCAAGTGCGAAGAGTATTTTGGCATTCCCTTCTTTTATCTCCCAGAAGCCCTGTTTTACACCCATCAAAACCTCAATTTCATTGAAATCCAGAGCTTCCTCTTTGAATTCGTCAACCCATTTTGGCCGCAAAATTAGAGCCACTAGTAGAATTCAAAGGCTTAATGCTGCTGCCTCCACAGAATTAGCTCCAGCGGAAACCCCCAGTGAGGTTTCCGACTCTGAGCTTGTACAAACATCTGAGGTTCGACTCACTAAACCTATGTGTATTTCATTTTAGTTATTGCAACTTCGCAGTATGCATATAATTAATTAATTGTTGGGGAAACACAGTTATTTATTTATATTTGTTTAGACTTCAAAATATCCCTATGCAGGTCGGATTTTTTTATTTTATTTTTTGCAAAGTCCCAACACAATTTTAATAAATTGGTGTTGATAAACCTTGAAATCAAGACCTGCTTGCTCCAATGCTATATTGAATTGCCACATCTAAAAGCTCAACTGTTAGAGATGGGCACACATTCCTTTTCAAGTTTTCGTTTCAACAGAACGGTATGAAGGGTGCTGACAGAGAATTTTTCTTGAGACTACAGATTTGTTATATGAATTCTTATTGATAATGCTTGTGTCTAATTACTTACATCTACCAGATTGTAACCAACTTACTGGTTTGAAGTCGCTAAGTGGAGAAGTACACAAAAAATTCTCTTTTTTGCATCACCCAGGGAAACGTTGTTTGCGTTTGGGGATTCTATTTTATCTTCAATCCAATCCCTATTCACGCTTTTTTCTCTTTGTTATCTATGAATTTTCAGAAGCTAGTGGAGGTGAAATCAGTGGTGAAGCCTAGATTGGTATTGAAGTTCATATGGATGGAAAAGAACATTGGTCTTGGCCTCGATCAGTTGATACCGGGCTATGGCACTGTGCCTTTGAGTCCATACTACTTTTGGCCAAGGAAGGACGCATGGGAAGAGCTAAAGACAACTCTAGAGAGTAAGCCATGGATATCCCAGAAGAAAATGATTATACTTCTTAATCAGGCCACGGATATTATCAATCTTTGGCAACAGAGTGGTGGCAATTTGTCCTAGACACCAGTATAGGGTTGTCACTTGTTTAGTCTTTAATGTAACATTTTTGAGTTTAAGTTGATTTCATACTATTATTGTACCTACGATTCAAATTTATGCCAATATATTTGAACTGAGAAGCTGTTTAAAACATGTTCCTCTATTGTTAATGACAGTTCGACTACCAATTTGATATACTTATATATTAAGCATCATAGAACAGAAAGCATGTAAGCAAACGTTCTTATTATTTGCTTATCATTTCATATGATTATTCTCCTTCTGGATCCTGACTTGGGGCCTATGCAGGGGCAATCCAGTGCACTATCATGTTGGGACGTATCTTTACTACGATAGAATTTTTTTTTTTTTTTGGTGCAGGTGCTCGTAAATAGCATATTGGATACAAAAATTATCTTGAACTCAGATTATATGCTCATTTGAACATGATTATGTCACATGCTTTGCTCAAATATAAACAAATAGAATCTAGAAACCAGAATTAAGATTTCTGGAGCTGATCTGCAGAAAGGTATTTGAATTTTGTTAAGATAACTGAGAACAGGTAAGAAGTCCTGATTATGTGCTTTACATTTGACAAAAAAAGAACAAAGCGCCACCCAGCAAATCCATTACATAGTTTTCAAGAAATATCATGATGAGAAAAATAAATTACTTCCTGTTTACACCAAACTCTCAAAAGTAGTTGCAGCACTATATATGTACTCTACTATAGTTTGTATGGTTGTTACCGGCCATATGTCCGTCTAGTCCTTACAGAAATTGGCGTCTTGTTGACATTCAAATGCTCTGCACCTTGAGTCCTAATTTCTTCAGCAAAGTGCTTCTTAGAATTTTCAGTCTCGGACTCCATTGTCAATCCAGTTTGAGATCTTAAAAGAAAATTCTTGTGAGATGAACAATAAGGTTTTGTGCTCCTACCTTCTATCATATCATCCTTCATATTGGTATTCATGAAATAAGTCTCTGACCTCGGAGTTCTACTCATATGTGCAGTTTCATCATCACTTCCATCAAAAACCATCTCCTTCCCCAGTCTGCCCTCATCACCAACGGACATCTTAGTTCCCTCATCGTCGTCTGCTGAATCAGAACTTGAACCAGATAGCGATATCTTGAATTCTGTTCCATTCTTGTACTGTTCAGTCTTTCTCTCAATTCGAGAACTGAAACTGTAGTTTTGTATTGGGTGGGTTTTCTTGAATATCAGTTCAACTTTTGCATCGGCAAATCCGGCAACCACTTTCTCCCTAATAAACATTTTAGAGTTCTTAGGCTCAATTCTTGCCTGGACGTTGGGACTGCTAGGACCATCACGATCAGTTGATTCGGACCGAGATAGTTCCACAGCAGCTCTCGCAGCTGCTGCTGCATAAGATGCAGACTCATAAGCTGCTTGGGCTGCATCAACTACATCAGTGTACCTTCTCCGCAATTTCACCGAATCAGAAAAAAATTCAACCGTTTCTATATCTTCAGGCCGCATTGGCCTGTTTTCTTCTGAATTAGAGACTCCTGATGAGGTCATTGGGTATTGCTTTTGCAAATATTCTGTACCTGATTCTAGATTTACCTGAAAATAGCATAACCAAGTCATCAATAAATGTTTAAAATGTTGGATTTCCTAGAACCTAATCATAACACTATGCCTTCGACACGGAATTCACCTAATAACCAACATCAGCCTTGTCGATTTTTTTATTTTTTATTTCGGGGTATTTTGTGCATTCCATATTTGTATTAGGTCATCTAACAAAGTGAAATGTTGTCGAAATAATATCCATACCACTGGAAGGACTGAAGCAGGCTTTTCAATTGGTATATCAATGTTGTACTCTGAACCAATCTCCTTAAGCAACTTCATTTTTTCCTCCAAGCTTGGCACCCTCGTCGACAACTTATGTACTATCTGCACATAAAAGAAATTAGCATATAATTCATCTTAGCTTTTGACTGTATTAGTATTGAAATGATACATAGTTGCCTGCCTTGGGATTTACTATGCATCCATTGCGCAATTCAGCAGCATTAGCTGCAAATTCTTTCCCAAATTGCGCTGTGAAAATTGCTCGTATCTCTTGAAGTTCTGGGAGTTCCCCGCACCTTGTGGCCGCATAAATTAAGCTTGATACAGCTTCCTTCAACTCATCAGGACATACTCTACCAGAAAGAATAATAACCCTCTTAAATATATGAAAACGTTTCAATAATTCTTTAAAAAATCTTTGAAAAACTCAAAACCAGAAAGAAACCGACTTTTCTTTTTCTACGAGGTTGGCCCTCTCTATCAACAGATGACAATAGCCTTCAACAATAGCAAACACATCCAACATATTCTGCTCCTTGATCACTAGCTCAACCTATCAAAAACCACCGTTTCAAAAAACTCATTCAAATGAGTACAAGTACGATTGAGAATAAGTGATTACTTCTAGAGTTAATGAAATTACCCTAAGAAGAGCACTGTCGTGGTTGCCAAGTTTAAGCAACTCGACCACGTCAGACCTTGAGATGGAGTAGCGTGCTTGGCGCTGGTTCTTGAGAACCTTAAGCCGGGCAATGGCGAGGTTGAATTTGAATCTGAATTTTGGGGTTCTGAAGCCTTTTCCAAGAACAGCTTGCAGTTTCTTTCGAATGCCCATACTTCCTAACTGTTAGAAGAATAGTGAGAACAAGAAAGAGCTGTTCGTGAACACAGAGAGTTGGCTACAATACAAACAAGACTTGGCCGGTTTACACCTTTCTTTGATGACACGGGAATGAGACTAATATGTGTGTAGATATGCATGAATGTTAGTTTTTGTGTATTTTAATAAGCTAATTTTTATTTATTTTTATTTTTGAGTGACCTAAAACAGGATTAAACGTGATTGGTTCGGTTCGGTTCGATTCGATTTCTACTTTTTTTGCCAATAATTATCCCATCAATTCACAAAAAAAATTTAAAAAGAAATTGATTGTGATGTGCCATTTTCTATGTATCTTTGTACATCATAGAGTTGATGGTTTTATCATTTTAGGCCCAATCGAATTAAGAATTTAATAAAGTAATCCAACTATCTATCTTTAAAATATTGCAAAAATCTATTTTTTTTTATTTTTTTTCTTTTTAATTTTGCTTTGATTGTGTCATTTTGGAGCACCCCAAGATTTTGATTAGTATGAAGGATAGGAGATACTATTAGTAAGCAAAAGACACTCAAATTAAATTAAACCTTAGCCTATGTTTGCTCAGGTTTATAAACGGTTTATACAAATCATTTTTTATCTGCACATTTCAAGGGACTCGATTCACTCGTTCTATAACTATTTATAATTTAAATCATTAATAAACACTTCTCAAACATGCTTTTACTTTAGTGAACACAGTGTATCAAAGAAAATAAAGTTAATATCGTATTCACTCGCCTAAAATATTGAAGAAGACACAATTTAATTAAAAAATGTCATGACATCCATATGTTGTCACATTCAACTTGGTTGAGAAAACTACTCTATCTTATACTTAAAACTTGTCGAGTTGTTGAAATTTGTGATGAGAAATTTCGAGGAAACTTGTAGAATGAATAAAACTATACAGATTGTACAAGAAATCTCAAAAAACAGAACAATTAGTCCAAAATGGTCCATAACAAGATGTCTAGAAGACTAGGAAGAATATAAAGTGCCATGCTTGAGTAATTCTTAAAAAAGGAGTAAATTCGTAAAAAGATTTTTTTTTTTTTTTTTCCTTTTTGTGGGGATACTTTTAAAACTCTCTGTATTTAGAAAAATTGGGGAAAAAAAAATATCACAGAGACGTAGTTTTCACAATATTTTAAATGAAGGCTTGTGGAATAATAATGCCAAATATATAATACAAAGTGAAACGTGATATCAAGTAGGGGTGGACCTACATGAGGCCTAGTGGGAGCTGCTGCCCCCACTCAATTTTCAGATTTTCTTTAGATTTTTAGATTTTTAAAATTTTTTTTTGTCCAGATTTTTTCAAGTTTTCAAATTTTTTTCCAAGATTTTTTAGTTTCGTCCCCACTGAACTTCCTTCATGGATCTGCCCCTGCTATCAAGAGAAAGAAGTCGAATTACTTGTATAAATATTAATGAAATTTAGAGAAGATATTGCCTTACCAAACATGTCAATTTATTGTTTTATCCTTAAAGTTAGTGAAAATTAAAATTTTGCATTAAGGAGAAAACGAAACTTTCTATTATAATACTAATAACTTGTTGAACTTATTCATTCATAAACCAGATTTACAAATTTATTGGCATCACAACAAATTAAAGGACAATAGTCAGACCTAAAAGTTCTAAACCCATTCTTGAGTAATAATCCTATTGGTAGTTTTCAATGGTGAAATAAATTCCTAATGCAATCGAACAAATTCAGTGGTAGAGATGCGAACAATATTTAATTATTTTCTTTGGATAAAATAAAATATGTAATACTTGTTTGAAAAACAACACAACCTTTCGTTTTTTACATTGTTACACGAAAAGGTTAGTTCAATCTACAATCCACAAAAAGACAATATCTCTATTCATGATATTAATTAGGAATAAAGTTATGAGAATGCTATTCATCCCTACTGAGGATGCATTCCCAATCTATGTGGCGTTAATGTGACATTAAATGATAGGTGAAATTAAATAAGTTATTTAATTTCACCTATCATTTAACCAATCATTTACATCTACATAAATTGGGGATGCATTCTCACTGGGGATGGATAGCATTTTTCTAAAGTTGTTGTGTCAGAAGAAAATTGCCCACATGAATGACATACTCTCACATAAGTGTGGGACCGATGTGGGACCCGTGTGAAACAAAAAATGATAAAAAAAGCTTCCATTATTAAGTTGCAGATATCCAATAAAGTAGCCATGGTAAGATATAGGCAGTACAGGACATGGCCAATTTACACGGGGATTGACCATTTATGTAAGGCTTGTACAAAGTTCAAATTTTCTGTGACAACAATCGAGTCTCGTTTCACATTCAAGTACTTCAAGGAGAGAAGCCACTTCATCGACGACAATGCACGGGAATCCACACCAAGGCTAAAGCCCATGATATTAATAATACAATCCATCGTATATCATTCACAATCAAGTACGAGAGTAAATCCCAAGAACAATCCATTGGACTCACTCCATTTGAAGTATACTCCTACATGAGAATGTTACCAGAAAAAAAAACCCAAAAAACATTAATCTCACAGCACATCAAACATTATCCTGAAACTTTTCCCAACTTTGGGTGTGTTTGAACGACGTTATCGTGGAAGAATGTATTTCAAAATAGTAGATTGACGGAAAATGTATAAATGAAAAAGAAAGAAAAGTTATTGATGTGATTAAAAATTTTATTTTATTAAACAAAGTGTAGTTAAAAATGAGTAAAATAAATGAGAATGAAAATTTTAATGTTGCTCAAACAGGAGCTTTGATATCGAATCATTAATGGGGTCAACAAACCTCAAACTTGTTGCAGGCTAAAACTTGTTGATTGGCTTGAGCTGATTGACATAAGATCCTCTCAAAAGGTCATTGACAAAACTTCAAGCTTTAGCAGGTTGGAATCTCAAATCAACAATTTTTTTTTCTCTGGTAGAAAATTTCGTGTAAATCTGAATAATGCCAACAGAGGCAGAGCAGGCAAAACCTTGAAACAAATCTGAATACCCCACAGACGAGGCAAAACACTAACACTGCAACGGGCAAGAATGTATTTATTCTTAACAAATATTAATGCTTGATTGCCATTTATCAAATTCAACACAGTTCAAAATAACCGAAGGAAACAGACAACTTTATTTAAAAACATAACATTCTACATCATGTATTTGAAACATCAAATGGCAGAAAAATTATAAAAAGGTAACAACAAACCATTAAAGGAATAATAGACACGGTCACTTGTTAAAACACAGCAAGAATGATTGACAAAGGAATTCATAGTAAGCAGAAAATTAAGCAGACTGAATGGAGTTAGTAGGGTAGCATATGCAGCCATGAAAACCAGAAATTTATTATAGAAAACTACACACGCTACAAAACAGAATTCCAATAGAACATTGGAACAACATTACCAAACTATCTCCTAGGAAATTTTGCTACACCAAAACACTAGGTTGCAAGAGAATAACACTACCTCGGGAAATTAGATATCTAATTTTACAAAGTGGCTGATGGATTCTAGCCCTCGTACCTCAAATAAATCTCCCTTGCATAGACAAAGGTTTACGAGTCAAGAAACCTAATCTAACGCCTACAACTGCATCAAACTAATGCATCAGGGTAACATGTACAAGTAAAATGGTTTCTTCATTTTTGGTCAAAAAGAGGATCAGGAACCGAAAAATAAAACAAGATCACCTAGACAACCAAGTTCGGAAAAGAAGAAACCACTGTTGAAGTATGGAGAGCATCAATGGCATATTTACAGTTGTCCAGATCAACTTTAAAGGATGAATTAGCAAAGAATCCATCAAAAGCCTGGATTCCCCAATCGCTACTATTAGCACCATCATGTACGTTGTGAACAGGGCTTCTACTGCGTCTTCTCTTCCCAGAGGACTTCCACCTTAATTGACCGACCAAATATTTAGTGAGGTCCCTAGCAATCTTTAACTCCATTGACTTGTCATCAATGCTAGCGATAGAGTCGCCTAATCCAACAACAATCTTTACAGGCAACGCATTGTTACCATTGGTTTCTACATGGTCTCTATTTTTATATGCATCCGCTAGATTAATATCGGAAGAATTTTCCACACTCTGTTTATTCTTGTAACTAGACAATATTGAGACTATCTCCTGTGTTTCCTTCAAACATTTCCAGCCATTTTCATACCATTCGCGCGAGTGCCTCAAATCCCCTGAACTGAAGATTTGCTCTTTCTTCTCTCCTGCAGATTAATTATAGGAAAACTATTAGAAACTGAAGGTACAAAACTGTACAAGTCAAATACATGGAGAATGGTCTTAAGACAGGATTAACAGAATTGAATAACAATAATAATTAGAAGGCTGGTTAATGATTCACACCTGGGAAATAAACCTGTAGCTCATCTTCAGATTCTTTCTTCACTACGATGCCTTCCCACCACGCATCATGCCACCATGCATCAACAATGCTTCCAACATTAATTATGTTGGACAGTCTGCCCCAATAAGACAATGGCAAGGGTCTAATAATGGTCCTTCCACAAATCCGGATTCCTAACTCATCTTCTACAGCTAATCGAGATGCCAAAACCCACTCCTGCAAAGTGAAAAATCAGCACATGATAAGCAATCATACAAAGCACGAAAAAACTTGATAAGAAAATACTCAAGGTTGTGTATATTCACCTCCAAATTTCTTGCATCATCATCTGCATCCTTGATATCTTGATACTTCACTTTGACCTTATCTTTGTGCCTCTTGATGATCAAAGCTCTGAACCAGCACCCTCTGATGCCACTATCTTGAGAAATCACTTCAACTTGAGATCCTATGGTCAAATTTTGCATACAAATTGGCAACATTGCATCTTGCCCTGATAAGGATACAGAAGAGTGTCCTCCTTTCAGTCTGCTCTTTCCCATGCCACCTTCGGAGCTGAAAGGACCACCACTTTGATCACGTAGGCTAGCATCAGTAGACTCTGTTTTGTCAGCAAAATGCAAGTTTATTTCTTTCTCTTTGGAACAGCAAAGTCTCTTCTTGGGTCTACCTCCAACAGCAACACTATGAGTTCCTTCTACCTTCATATCATCATCAGATGTTTCAAGTGGAGGGAAATTATTTCTTAGTACTTTCTGTTTCCAGTAGCCTTTAGTTCGTGTTATGTCAAACGGCTTGACATCATCATTATCAAACAGTCCAGAGCAAACGAATGGGTTCAACTGCATATCTAGCGCCACATTAAAAAATTTCTCATAATGCTCCAGACTGAGGATGGTTGCCAGTCCATCTATGCATTCGATGCTAATATCTTGAAGACAAAGAGAAAAGAAAATCTCTCTGTCATTATAGTTATGATGCAAAACAAAACCAATCTCATCAATTTTGTGAAACCATCGTACCACAACCATCTTGTTGCCTCGGGAGTCCTCATACATATCATCTAAGTAAGCAACAAGGCGTTTACCTTCTTCAGCCAACACATACACAAATTCATGAACCTGAAATTTATAGCAGAAGAGAGCATAAAAGAGTATATGATCAAAATACGAGAAACACAAACAGGCATTTGAATAAACCAATCAACTTCCATTGCTCTGAAAGAAGATTAAGAGTCAGATCAGATACTCACAGATATTTTCACACCATTGCGGCAAAAGGACTCATAGTGTCTGCGCCTTTTTCTGCAACTCCATGGCGAACCTAACCACAAAAACTCTGCCTTGTGACCCGGCTTCCACATTTGAACATCCTGAAAAAAATTAATAAGCAAGCAGATGATAAATATGATTGAACCAAATACTCTTTGATTAGAAGAATTAAGCAAATTGATTACTAAACAAAAATCATAATTTCATCAACTAACCTTGATAATATCAGTATCCAACTTGTGACTATCTTTGCTTAGCATTAAACTGTCAAATTGATAGGAAGGTCGTGGGTGTACATCTGAAAGTCGATTTGCAATAATACAATGAGTATTGTATAACCAAGAAATATTCGTAGAGCAGGAGCATGAAAACTATTAAAATAACACCAGCAAAGAAAAGACAAATTGCAAGTACATAAGAAAACCAAGCCTTATGCGATAAGTACAAAAATAACTGTAGCATAAAAAACCACGAATCCTCACAAAACTGAAGGATGGGGAAGGGTAAATGAATTAAAAATCTTAAAACTCTCAACAGCAAGGATTTCCTACTTGTGTTCACCACAATGGTCACAAAAAACATAACAAATAGAAAAACCTAAAGTAAAACCATGAGAGAACATTGTAGATGTTAACCTAGACTGGCAAAAGGAATTCCAAGGCTCTCAACCAGCTCTTACTAATTGATTTTAATAATTCTGCATCCCAAATAATTGTCAGTTTTCCACAACATGTGCACCACACATACATTGACTCTGACACAGTATTACAAAAAAATGCCATGGTAAGAACACATTATTAGAGAAAAAAGAAGAGGTGCAAAACAAACATTGCTTGCAGAAAGTGAAGTAACAATGCAAAACCAGAATAAAATTCCTGCTTTGCCCATAATTCTGAAAAAAAAAAACCATGTAAAAAACAAACTTTATGTAGAGTATATATTTATGATTTCTCATTATCATTTCTTCAAAGAAATACATGATTTTAAAAGAAATTAATTAGAAGTCCCCAAATCAAAATTCAAACTGATTCATAAGAAGTCAATATTAATTGTCAGTTCAGTTTACAAAACCAATTATCCTTTTTTTTTTATAATCATGAGTGTCCGGGTCAACTTGCACCACCTCGACTAATTCCCTGAAGTTTACGGCCGGTACTTACCTCAGTCGCCATGAGGGACTCGAACTAGTGACCATTGGGGAGCAAAACCCGAGGCCAGACCAATTGAGCAACCAGAAAACCAAAGATCCTTAAAAAAGCTGTTGTCAAACTGAAATCAATCTACTACTCCTTCATAGTTGAGAAAATCCACCAAAAAGGAGAAATGTCTATATTTCCGCGTGAAACAATTTAATTTTATAAAAATTGCAAGAAACATTACTCATTAGCTCATAAAGATATTCTTTGACCATTAAATAAAAATCAATTTCACATGATAATCCATTTGTATAAAATTGAATATGCCACCAAGGATATATTCTGTAAAAGATAGGAAGAAGGCACGACAAAATACATCATTTACCCAAATAAGTTGAAAACTGGAGACCAAAATTCCTCTAGAGAAAAAAGATGAATGCATTAAATTCATTTTGCAAGTCAAATCCTCCAAATGCTAACAAAATCCTTCTCAAATCAATTTTCCCAAAACCAAGATCAGTACAATGACTGTAAAATCATTATTCAAAAATTAAAGAATGACAGGAAACCAGGCAAAAAAAATCTCTCAGCCAACAAAACAAGGAAAAGCAGAAGAAATTACATAACAAATAACAGAACTGCATCAAAAGAAGGAACTCATAATTTCTAGTTCAGAATCTGACAGGGGAACAAATGAAATGCAACTAACCCAGAAAAGTATTATTATTTTCAGCTACTGAATCCATAAATTCTATAATGAACCCCAAGTCAAATCTTCCAAGTGCTCACAAGATCCTTCTCAAATCAATTTTCCCAAAACCAAGATCAGTACAATGACTGTAAAATCATTATTCAAAAATTAAAGAATGACAGGAAACCAGGCAAAAGATACTCTATCCTGTGCATATCCCAAAACCCAAAATATCCTTTGAAAAAAATAAATAAATAAATAAAATCTCTGTGCCAACAAAACAAGGAAAAGCAGAAGAAATTACACAACAAAGAACAGAACTGCATCAAAAGAAGGAACTCATAATTTCTAGTTCAGAATCTGATAGGGGAACAAATGAAATGCAACTAACCCAGAAAAATATTATTATTTTCAGCTACTGAATCCATAAATTCTATAATGAACCCCAAATTAATCTTCAACGCTAAAAGGAAAAGTATCTCAAAATCAGAAAATTAAGTAGCACACAAATAGGCCTTATTGGAAGAAGATTTCAAAAACATTATATTTCGTAAATTCACAGAAAACAAAAGGTACACATCAAATCATCAAAAGATAATTAAGAACATTTCATAAAACATATCTTCCTAGGCGCTCTTTATGACCATTTTAGTAATTGTATTCCAGCAGAAAAATATGGAATGTTCTACATATAAACGCATACTCGGCTCTTATACCCCATCCATATCTATCAGATCTACCAAACAAAAAACCACGAAGCCCAAAGAAAAATACCATTTTGCTATTCCACTCAAAAGATTTACGCCCGAAACCAAATATAGTAACATAAGAGAACAAACCAAATCAAAATTAAAAAGTACCTGGAACGATTGTATTTAGCCAATTGATGACCTCTCTTCTAGTGCGTAGCTTCAAGAGAGAGGAGCACTTCAAGGTCGAAAGCAAGGACTTGTTATCTTTAATCTCGTAATAATAAGACATGTGCCTAAGGTTCTTCTCCTTTCCGACCACGACAAGATCTGCCCCGCTGACACCGCTCCGTTTAAGGTAATAGTGCACTTCCCGCCGCCCCTTCTCGTTCGATAACACCACCTCCTCCCACCCCGTATAAAACGCCTTTGAATTCACCATAGCCTTAATAAAGTAAATTAATATTTATTCAAATTGATATTCAAAACGATAGGACAAGATGAAATGGAGAAGATAGACGACACGGATTTTTTTTATTCTAAAAGTTGATGTATAAAGTTGGGGGCTAGGGTTTGTGGATTGGAATGGACGGTGAGGATTGCGATTGATTTGGCAATGTGCGGAGGAAGTAGTTGAGAAGTTTCTGAAGGGTTGTTTTTTTCGGTTACAAAAATGCCCCTGGAATTACGCGAATTAACCTGTGTGCCTGTCGTTAGCCTCTTACTGGTCTGATAAGTCAAGGACCCAGAAACTTTTGTGCACGTTTAGCTGATAATGGTGCTGAATTGGCATTTGTTGAGACTGTTAAAATTTGGAGTTTCATATTAAAAAGTCAATCTTATTAAAGGGAGAAGTTTAAATTTTTATAAATTGATTTATATTTTCATCTTTATTTAATGTGAGATTTTATCTCTTAACATGTCCCCAGACTCGTATTTTAACAGACCAATCTTGAAATTTGTGTGCTTCGTTTTTTCGCAGACCAATCTTGAAATTTGTGTGCTCAATTTTTTTGAGTCTTAATCGGATCGAATTGCTCGTTGGAGTTTAACGAGCTATAATACCATGTTAAGATTTAGGGTTCCATCTTAAATGTCAACTTTATTAAGAGGGGTAGTTCAAACTCTTATAAATTAGTATACGTTTTCATCTTTATTCGACGTGGGATTTTATCCCTTAACACAAACATAAAAAATCGTCACGAACCCAGAAACTTAACGTTGTTAAGAGCATCCTATTTAAAGAATACGGATAAGGAAAGCTCGTCTCCATGCCTCAAGCAGAGTAAAAAAGCTTGTAGAGATGTTACTCAAAGTCAAAAAGTAGGAGTCCTACGAGAAATATATAATGTTGAGACGAGATGAGAATTAAACTATGTACTTTTGGGTACAATGGTCACCCGGAGTTCACCAACATTGTTTGATTATTCACTCTGCGAATTGAGAAATCAAATAAGAATATATTCTCTATGAAATTGTATTTTCTAGCAGAACATATTATGTACGTGTGCCAGTTAACCCACAAATAACTGGCATTTCTGTCGAAAAAATAGCTGCTTCCACCTAAATTTCTGGCCTACATGAACAAGATACAACTATTTCGACTGATGGGATGCTTGGCAACAAGCCTGCAGCAGCATCCAATACTAAAAATCATTACTAGAAGTGAGAGTTTTGAGTCTGCAGTGATAGCAGAACTTCTCAGAACAAAAATTTCTTGCTTCGAATGTACTTCAGGAAATGTTCTATCTTGCTACCCCAAGAAACAAGTTTGTATACCAGTAGACTCTTCCAAATGAAGCAAAGCTCACCAATCCAACCTGATATTTCTTGAAGTGTACAATTTATCAATGTATTCTATGATTGGAAGAGAGGCATTGATGTATCGTTGCATTTCCTTCTTTGCTGACTTGTCTGAAACAATTGTATCGGTAATAACCGCATCAGTCGTGTTTCCAGTTTATAAAACAGAAACTTCACAAATCATTAATCTAAACAGAAGCTTTATGCATAAAAGCAATAATCTGTAATATGCACCGGCAAAAAGTTTTCTTAAAAATGATTTTCCACATCTTTTAATTGGTTTTATACTCAGTGACCTGATTCTTCGCAACAAAGAATTCCAAAATCTATGCGTGGCTCCTGAAAAGGGATTCCATATGACAAATTGACAATGATGAAAACTACTTCAAAGCCAACAAAATGTCAGTCCAGTATTTTGAATAGTCACTGTTCATTTTCAAGAGATCTAAAACTTGCATATTATACTACAGTTAGATTTGTGCCAAGTACGATGTGAATGTGAAATGCGACTTACAATCTCTCCCTGTCAAAGACGATCAAAACTACGCATCCCACTTTTAGTCGCTGGGCCTCACACAGAAAAGCCTCATTGGTGTTTTACAAGTTCCAAAGCTCAAATTTAAAGCTCAACTCTGTTTTTATCCAATATTTGTTGCGGGAAGACAGAATTTCAGGGATTGAACACTAAACATATAACTTATATATTTGTAGAAATAGCAAGTTCATTTGTAGTCAAAGCCTACCAAATTCTCAAAATCCTTATCAACCATTAAGGAACTACAAAGGTTGTCTTTTGCAGAAACAGGTGAGTGGTTGATAGCCCTCCAAAGTAACTTCCAAAACCTTTATGTTTTCATCCATGAAGTTCACTTGTTCAGAAATGGTTAGTAACCTTTCCAATTTCCACCATTTCACAAAACTACCGGGCAGTATTCCACTTAAAAAACATAGCCCTCCATTAGTCACCAAAAAGATTTTACTATCTAATGACAGAGTAAAGCAAAAGAAAACAAGCAAAAGTGACAAATAAACTCACCAGATTCATTTAGCCTCAGCAGTAGTTGTTCCCTTGTCGGCAGTGCATACATTCCAGCAGAAACAGCAGTCCTGACGGCCCATGCGTGATATGGTGCACAAGTTTTTGCATAAGCTGCTGACGCCGCTTCTTTTAAAGAAGAATCGCTGGAAGTAGCATAGTGAGAAGTTAGACATCCTTTCCAGGGAACAAAATAAAGATTTTGAAGAGCAAATAAATTTAAAACAAGAAGGTACTAAAAGGAAGGACGAGAAACGTACTCTGATGACAAAAAGTTTTGGAATAAAGCTCTGATGAGATCAAGACCCAGCCTAACTCTGCGCAAGTTACGTGATAGGCTTCCTTGTGTTTTCACTGTATCATTTCTTACATCAAAATCAAGTATATTATTTAATGTTCCATGAATCCGCGATGCTTCTGCCAGATCATTTACCTGAAATGAATTGGAGCATTATATAGAATAAGTTACCTAGACAGACCAAAGAAGGAAAATGACGAATGAAAACAGATAATGGAAGTTCCAACACAAGTGGCCAACAAATTGGAAGCAGAATGACGATATGAGAATTGTAAATCTATGCTGTTATCATCGAATATTATCATCTATGCGTAAGGTTATCTGCATTCCAAATCCTGTTACAATCCCTCTTATTCTTCTTCATTTGTCCTTTTTTTTCTTGGAAGATCATTAAGAAATATCATTTTCAATTAACATGAACCCAAGAATCCTCCTTACATAATCTTGAATTATTGAAAACACATACACACACACTGAAAATTTCAAATCTAAATCAGTAATATATAAGATTGAATAAAAATGCAACTATTCATGCACATATGTAAGAAATGTAGAATAGAATAGGATTTGAATAACACCAACCTTCGAAACATACTCCGATTCAGCAAATTTAAACGCTATGCCCAAAGAACCAAACAGAACAGAAACAAGCGAACAAGCATCGCAAAAGGGTTCCAAACGAAGATCAAAATTGAAACCCTTGGATTTCACCACCGCAGAAAGCTCCTCAAACGAATCCGCAACCGCCGATAAATTGGTTAATTCGGTGTTAGCGTCCTCAAACGCCGCTTCTTCAACCATGGCAACTCTTGACCTCGAAACTCTTTCTCCGGTCCTTCAAATTCAAGCACATTTTTTCATACTTTTAGACATTAACAACCCAAAAAAAAAAGGGCAAGAGAAAGAAACGAAGATGTTTTAGACACAGAAGAATGGGAAAAATAAAAATAAAAATTAGAAGCTTACTTTTGGGCTGTGCACTGTCTTTCTCTTCTGGAAAAGAGAGAATGAAAATTGGGGGCCATGATTGTTCGCTCTACCAGTACCGTCTAACCTCAAATAAAACAAATCTCGATAAGGAATATATATACAAGCAGGTGGGAAGGTAATAAATAAGGTCGCATCGCCATGTTTGAAGAACAAATAGTCGTCGCATCGCCGTGTTTGAAGAACAAATAGGTCGTCAAAACTTACCCCACAAATAACCGCCATGACAAAGAGCCATGCACCGTGTCAAACTACTTACGTCAACGTCGTTGTCAATTTGTTAATAAAAATTGAATCTTTCCAAACTTCTAACAAATTTCTTGTTTTCAATAAAGAAAGCGGTGGAGTTGCTTTCCGTGTATGTTCATGTTTGGACAATAAAGCACCACTATGCAATAGTACCTAATTAATTACCTATGAATATTTGACCAAGACTTCGTCAACTAAGATATTCTTGATTGATCGAGTTGTGAATAATGGACATTTTAACCTTAGGGATAAGGTGATAAGTGTTAACGTGGATAAAATATCAAAAAATTAATATAATATAATTGGTGACGAGTATGTATTAGAGGAAATTACATAATTTCAGGTATTTAAACTTCACAATTCAAAAATCAGGGCTGAAGTTTCATTATGCATAAATTAGGTATCTATAAATTAAATATTATCCACCCAATTTATTACAAACCCTAATAATTTCAACTCT